GTTTCTGATAGTCTTAAAAACAAAACAGAACCAGGGCACCTGGCTGGCTCAGTTGGTAGAGCATGCGACTGTTGATCTCAGGGCTGTGAGTTCAAACCCCATGCTGGGTGGAAATATTACTTAAAAATAAAATCTTTTGGGGCATCTGGGTGGCTCAGTCAGTTAAGCATCCAACTCTTTTTTTTTTTTTTTTTTCCCAACGTTTATGTATTTTTGGGACAGAGAGAGACAGAGCATGAACGGGGGAGGGGCAGAGAGAGAGGGAGACACAGAATCAGAAACAGGCTCCAGGCTCTGAGCCATCAGCCCAGAGCCCGACGCGGGGCTCGAACTCACGGACCGCGAGATCGTGACCTGGCCGAAGTCGGACGCTTAACCGACTGCGCCACCCAGGTGCCCCGAGCATCCAGCTCTTGATTTGGGCTCAGGTCATGATCTCACTGTCCTTAGAGAGCCCCGTGTTGGGCTCCACCCTGAGCATGGAGCCGGCTTAAGGTACTCTCTCCCTCTCTCTCTGTCCCTCCCCTGCTTGCATATGTGCACTCTTTCAAAAAAAAAAAAAAAATTTTTTTTTTAAATAAAGTCTTTAAAAAACAAAAAAACCCACAGAACCAAAAAAGATTATTTCACACATATGTTTTCATTAGCCAAAAAAAATATGTATACAACTGTCTGATCAAGAATTACAATGTTTTCCATAAAATGGTGAATAAATTTAAGCACAGTGGTTATGAACCCACACTTAAAAAACAAAAACAAAAATCTTTTATAAAGGAAAATCACATGCAAATGGAGACTACAGGATAGTGAACTGTATCACTCAACTTTAAGCAGCTAGCAACTGAGGGCCAACCTTGTTTCACCTGCACCTGGCCCACTTTCCCCCAACCCCTTGTGGATTATTCTGAAGCAAATCCCAGGCTTCATACCATTTCATTTATAACTATTTCAACACATCAAAAGCCATAGACTTTGAGGCAGATAGACCCGGTGTCAAGTCTAGGCTCTACCAACTAATAGTTGTGTGACCCTGGGCAAGTCACTGAGCTTCTCTGAGCTTGTCTTCTATCTGCAAAATGGACGAAATGAGATAAGGTACCTGAGGAATGAAGCCTAGCACTGGCCCACAGAAAATAGTTCATATGGCAGCTGCGGTTCTTTATTACTATATGAGCATAGAAAGGCAGGACTCTTTCTGACTCATTTCCAATGAGCCCCACAAAGGACAAAACAAATAGCAAGTATTCCCATATTTTAAAAAGAGATACTAACCTCTCTATGCTAAAGTTACAGAGGGACGAACAAAAAACTGGTGATTTATGACCCCCCTCAGCCCAACAGTGACCTCCAGGAGTTTAAGGAAAACAAGTCCAGAAAATCTCTTTGGATAAAACTACAGTGTTATGGGGTTTCAACCACCCTCCATGGGGGAGGGGAGGAACTACCTTCTGGTCACCATAAACCAAGAGAAAGGGAATTTTAAGAGAGTCCCCTAGAGAGTGTAACCTATCACCCCTAGAAATTGTGGGGTACAAAGACTGGTGACTGACTCATACCTGATAAAAGCCCACCAGTGAGAAGCAGGAAGGAGCAGCCTGTGGTGGCTGTGTGGAAGCTTGCTCTGGAACAGCAAAGAGGACCCCCACCCCTTTCACCCCCAGTGCTGGCTTCCCAACCTGAGGCAGGCTGGGGATGGGGAAGGGAAGATTTACTTTTTTAATCAAGTTCAAAGAGGACGTTTTAGGTACTTAAAAGAGATTCTTGTAATTTAAAGTGACATAAAAATTTAAAGAATACCTATTATATAAGATAGGTGTGTATGTGATATGATATTTATAGGTTATATATTCCATCCAGAAACAATAAAAGAACAGACAGAATGAGTTCAAAGGGGGAACTGAGAGAAAAAACTAAGCTGTTTCCCATGATGTTCAGCATCTTCCATATAATAGTTACATTATATGTTCAAAAGCCCAGCAAGAGCAGAGAAGATGATGAGCGCCATCAAAGAGATTAATGAAATGTAGATATTAGCACAACTAATAAATAGTAACAAGTATATAATCAATTTAAACCATACCACTTCTAAACAGAATAAAACTTCAAGGCATATTAGAAAAGCTGTTCTCTTTTCATCTCTTTTTTCATTCAATTCTGGTGAGTAACAGCAGCCAAGCAATGCTTCCATCAAGGATTCGACCTACTTAATCCTAAAGAATGAAACTGGGAGGAGGAAGTAAAAGTTGCTTAAAACAGGACAGAAACAAAAAGGGGGGATGATCATGTGGCCCAAAGGGTACCGATCCAGGGAAAGAAACTCCATGCGCAAGGTCCTGCGTTAAATGCTAAAACAATACTTAAAAGGACAACATAGGTTTTCTGCCCTTAAAGGAATTTGGATTAGACATACAGCAACAGCAAGAGATCAGCGTACACAGTCTTTCAGAGGTGGGGAAGGGGTGAGAGAAGGAACACAAACTTGAAAATAGCCAAAGGCCCAGTAAAGAATCCCTTGGAAGGCTACTATGAAGTCACTCAAGGCAAATTCATGATTCAGATCTTACACAAACAAAATAAAAATTCAGATTGTAGTCATTCCATTATAATGAAATTTTCTGTAGATTCTGAAGCCTTGCTACATTGGTTTTGAAAGCTCATTCCAGTTAAGATCAATATTTCTTTGGGGGAGAGTTATTTGGAGAGTTATTCATTACTTTCAAACTATGCAGGCACTCAACAGACCTTTCTAATAAAAAGTGTGATTGCATTTTGAATTATAAGTAGACACAAATTCATTTTTGGAAAACATTCAATGCCACAGAAGAGCTATCCCCATTGAAATCATGGGATATCCAAACACACAAGACTCTTCAATGGCAATAATGGCGTCCCTGTGCCATCCACCTGGATAAACACAGGTTACAACCCTCATCCGGAGCTTGTGTTCCCCATAGCTTATGGTGGGAATTCTAGACAACCCAGCTCTGTCTCAGAACTAACTAACTAACCACAACCCAAATCAGCCACAGAACATGTTGTGTACAGTTTATAGAGGCTTCCCACTCATTTTCAGCAGACAGACCTCAAGTGTGTTACCTAAGGTTTCTGTTGCTATCAAGACACAGCTGATAAGACTATTTCTTGTCAGATGGATAAAGATGTAAAGTTAAGTCTAAATTTCACTTCTCACCTACTAAAACTATTAGAGTAATCGATTACCACGTAAGTCGACACAATCGAATTTATTTCTGGTTATGCAATCACAGAACTGATTACTTTTCAAATAAAAATTCAGAGAACTAGATTACTCCCCAGAATAAAGAGTAGCAACTATGTGCCTGAGGGCACGCCCACCCACACGCATGGGTTTTTTGCCAGTTTTCCATCTGGAAACCATGATGTAACAGGATAATCGCAAATTTACTCTCATTGTTTAAATCTATGAATAACGCACAGATCATCTAATACAAACAAGTAATTAATTGTGACATGTAACTCAAGTTCAAGTCACTTATAGTAGGTTGATCTTTCAAGGTAATTTTTTACAATTCAAGAAACCTCTTAAAAGTCAAGAAGAGGGGTGCCTGGGTGGCTCAGCTGGTTAAGCATCTGACTTTGGCTCAAGTCGTGTTCTCACCGTTTTTGAGTCTGAGCCCCACGTCGGGCTCTGTGCTGACAGCTCAGAGCCTGGAGCCTCCTTTGGATTCTGTGTCTCCCTCTCTTTCTACCCCTCCCCGCTCTCACCCTGTCTCTGTCTCTCAAAAAGAAATCAATAAACATCTAAAAAAAAAAAAAGGGGGCAAGAAGAAATAACATAAAAAACAAAGCAGTTTCTTTTCTACCTATGAGTTAAGAAAGACTGATTTTTTTCAAAGGTAGTAGCTCTGCAATTTTACAAGCAACAACCCTTCGAAATAAAATACAGATGGCCTAAACCAACTGGATTAATAAAAAGGTATCTTTCATTTAACCATAATTCATTTTGATAATTATTGTCTACCTTAAAAAAATCTACTTCAAAACTGATTTTCTGCTTCCAGGATAGAAGGTGATATGTCACACAGAAGTCAAAGAAAAACCTAGGAATACCTCTAGGAGCGACAAACGTTGGAGATGGGATTCTTCCTTTCAAGCCAATGACATCAAGTGGGTGTAAAGGGAAGAGCTTCCTTACTTTCTCCTTCTTACCCTCAAGTCTGAAAACCTACACCTAGAAGTATTTTACCTAAGGACCAAGGAACAACGAGACTCCCCAGGGAAGAATAGAAGAAATGACCATAAAGGATGGAAAGTGACTTTTAAATAAATGTGCCAGAACTAATCCATACAAACGGATGCTGCCACCTTCAAATTCATTACTTTGGAAATTATATACTTAATCCAACGATACCGTTATAGTCACTTCGGAATTTGTTTCAGAGCTCAAAATTTTCCACATCCTTAAAACCAGGAAATGTTTGTCTCTTCAGGTTAGATTTGCAATAGTCAAAGGTCCTCAGAGTAGCTGTGCTGTTGTTTGGAAAGTCTTTCTTGACCTCCCAAGTCCAGGTTCTGTGCCCCGTCCCCGTGATCACTACATCCCCCAGCAGAGCACTTCTCACTCTATAATGGAATTGTTTACTTGTCATCTGTCGCCCTGGCAAAACTGTAAACTGCACAGAAACAGGGAACAGATCTTATTATTATTATACCCACAATCCTAGCATAGTGCCTAGAAAACTGCAAGCTTCCAAGAAATACTAAATGATGCATTCTACTTTAATACGAACTGGTCTGGAATCCTGTGTACCTTCTCCACTGCCCCTCCCAGCAGCTCTCAGAAAAGAGTGTATCTACAGAGACGAACCATTGCTTTTTACACTTGGCAGGGAGAAGTGATTGGATTTGATGATCTTCATTACTGATTTATGCATAGAGAAGCAAAAAATCATGACTACATCCTCACAGACTAAAAACATAACTTTTTCCCTCTCAAATCTGCAAGCACAGGAGTATCTTACCTAGTTGCAAGATCTTTATAGTGTCTCTGTAAGCTTTCATCACCAGCTTGAAGTGGCGATAAAGTGGGTAGCATAAAACTCTTCTTCCAAAAGACACCAGGATTTCATGAACATTAGTCCAAGTCTGTGAAGTATAGTTTAAGTAAGTAATCATTTCCATATTACATAAATAAAAGGACACAACGAAATATGAAACTACTCTCAATTAAAAACTATAAGTTCGGATCATCACAAAGCCATGCAAGAGAGAAATATAAAACCGTGAAATGAGATTCTTTTTGTACACCTTACAATAAAATATTTAATTGCAGTCCTTGTAATTTCTCATACTTCATCAAGATATCACAAATGCTCCTTAAAAATCACATATGCAGCAGGAAAGTTTCAAAAAGTCCTTTAAGAATTACAAATATGAATCTAAAACACATGGTACTAACAAAATACAGATGCACATAAAAGACACTGTTAAATGATATATGTTTCATGTTTTTGTCCTTTAGGACCACTCAAGATGGTGTAGATGAAAGATGGAGAACTCTTTAGTGAAGTGTGTTCACAGTCTCCCTCTTCTTCTACTTTTTCTTTTTCTTCTTTTTTAGTGTTTAGGGCATGAGAAAAACATGGTATTTATTTCAGTAATTTGCTTTCACTTATCAAAGAGAAAAGTGCTTTCTTGAAAAAAGTACTTTATCTTGAATAGTATCAAACTGAAACCATCAGCAATTCAAAACTTACTGAAAACACTAGACGAAGGCAATTTTGCACAAAATTGTTTTTTAATTGGATTTTGATTAAAACTGTATGAAAAACGTAACCCATATATAAAACTTAAAATATAAAAGTAAAACTAAGGGAGCAGAAAAATTTCCATGTATATTAATCCTTAACAAATGAGAGATCTGATTAAGAATATTGAGTATCTCACAAAGAACAGTTTATACCTAAAAAGAACTATAAACTTTTTAAAAATTCTACCAAAAACTAATAAAAATTTCACATAGCTCTCAATAGCTCTGGCAATTCTAAGTTATCTCAAAATCAATAAAAATTTCAAAATGAAATCACATATAGGTGAATTTATTCATGTAGATTTTAATAAAAGAACTATGAAACTCTTCAGTTACTGACTACTTTGTTTTCAACATCAGTAATCGATGCCATTATTACCAAATCCAGTTTCTCCCTTATATGCTGATCACGGCAATAAGTAGAACTCAAATGAAGTCTAGGGAGCAGTGCTCCTCCATCTTTAACATGGATACGAATCCCTGGAGATCTTGCTACAGGTTCTGCTTCAGTGGGTCTGGACTGAGATTCTCTAACAAGCTCCCAGCTGAGATGCTGGTCAAGCCATTAGTTCATAGAACATTCTCTGGAGTAGCAAAACTCTCTAACAAAGCTGAATGTTTCAGTTCCTGTTTCCATCTTATCTATTATTTAAACAAAGTGATGCCATGAAGGGCGCCTGGGTGGCTCAGTCAGTTGAGTGTTTGGCTCAGCTCATGATCTTTTGGTTTGTGAGATTGAGCCCCGTGTCGTTGTCAGGATCTGAGCTGACAGAATGGATCCTCCTTGGGATGTTCCCTCTCTTCTCTCTGCCCGTCCCCACCACCCCGCCCCATGCACCCATGCTTTTTCTGTCTCAAAACAAATAAACTGTAAAAAA